ATTTCACTATGATATCTCTGGGGCGGTTCTCTTGCTGCTTGCCTACACGATGGGTTCGATCAATCTTACGAGCTCACTTTTGATCTCAGTCTCACTTTAACCAAAGGAATCAATTGTGGAAAAGTGAGACTGAGATCAAAAATGAACTCGTCTAAGTTTTATGGCCCCCAGGCCAGATTTGCTCAGATAGCCTTTTTTCTCAATATATTTTTACACTTTTTACAAAATACATGTCGGTCCCAACATATTAAGCATACCTGGCATTGTCCATACTCACGATCCTCATATGAATTATCAATGAAAGTTAATCAGAATCATAAGCAAAGTAGATCACTCCTTTTTCGGTATTTGTAAGATGTTTATTAAAAAAAAACAAATATCCCACGGAGGATAGCAATAGTTGAGCTTTGTATTGGTCATCTTTCCAAGTTTCATGTACGTCTAGTATATAACACTCCGAAACTATTCGACATATCACATATTTATGGTGACCGAGTGGTCAAATTATGCAATCTACGACTTGTATGGGGCTTGTTACAGTTAAAACAGCAAAAGCAAATGTTTGTCTTTTATATCCAATAATTAAAACTTGACTAAACTTTGTAAAAAAAAATATACATTGTAACTCAAACAATTTCACATTCAGTAATTGTAACGTAAAGGGGGGGGGGGGGGTAATTTCTTGGAAAACACAACACATGGGAGAGTTGCAAAATAAAATAAAATTAGGGATGTCAACGAGTACCCGGTTAACTTTTATAAGTTTGCAAATTAAACAAAGTCAAAAAATTTTTTACCATAGAAGTTGGAATGGGAGAGGATTTTTCCCTGTAATGTACATGACACAATTAGAATAAGAATATATATACACTGATAGTAGAGAAATAAAATGTAGCAGGTCAAGTAGTCTTAAGAGTTATCTCCCTGTCTTGGGATTGTTCTGATCCGCCTCATTATGTGGGAGGGGTGTATCAGCAACATGGTCTTCTTTTACCAATGCTACTTTCTTACCCTCCAATGACTCAATGCAGGGATGGGATAATGGTAATGTGTAATGGTAATTGACTGTAATTAATTACAAAATTCAATGTAATTGAAAGTAATGTGTAATTGACCAAATTTTCAATTACAAGTAACGGTAATTTAATTAATTACTTTCCAAAAAGGCATGTAATTCACAATTACTTTTCAATTACATTCAATTACACTGATTTTAAATAAATGAAAAATAGTCTCCTCTCCCTCAGTTTCATAAGCATTTTTTATGAAAGGTTAATAACTTATATTTTGGACCAAAAATTTTAATAGTAAAATTTCTTGAAAATAAATTCCCTTTTTATGTCAATTGTTGTTTAAATACAATGCCCCTTTCATTTAAAAAAAAACTTTTAAATCAAGTTAAATTTTGTAAAGTTTACCAATAAAATTCATATTTTGATTATTTTAATTAATTAATCCATATGAAAATAAAAAGTCCAATGGCTTCTAATCCTTTTTGGCCGGTTGCGTATCTATGGCTCAGATAAGTACAGCTCAGTGGTTGAACTGTGGATCACGTAAGCCGGGTTTAAACCCCAGTTGAGTCGGGTTTACCTGAGTCGCGTTTCTGTTGCACGCTGTAAAACTGAGTAAGGTTTAACTAATCTTGACTTACTTATATATAATGTTGAAGGATAATAGGTTTTCTAATATTACAGCACCTCAAAACAAGTTTTAATATACTAGTAACTGGTTGAAAATTAAAAGCATACTAGTATATTTAAAAGCAAAGATATATATTGATGTTAAATTGTAAATTAAAAATGCCGAGAAATACAATAGAATTTAATTCAAATCACGACATCTTTCATCGAAACCTAAATCATAAGAAAATATGAAATCGCAAACAGAATAAAGCTTTGCAAAAGACTGAATAGAAGAAAACAGAGATGGGGGTCTTTGGACTAAGTAATTTAGAAACATTACCAAAACACAAGATATAGGTAAATAATAAAGCAACAATGTATAAATTTAGATTTTTTTAGTTTAAAATCAAATTTTAAAAAAAAATTATAATACATTACTTTTTAGTAAACACATATTAGTTATGTTTTTGAGAGAATTTTATAAAGCTGCAAACTTATAAGGGACGGACATGCCTCCCCCGGCCCATTTTATACGGCCATGTGGATAGCCTAATTAATCAGATAACTGAAAGACTTTTTATCTCTAGAAAATTCGACATTATTAGAAATAATTGGAATGTGTATCATCAGCTGTTCGAAAGTGTAAAATTCGTAATTTGATTTAAATTTGGAACATGTATATTAGAAAGTTTCTATATAATTCCTGTTCATGAACATTAATGTTTTTTTAAAAGTATCTTCCAAAACTTTATACTACAGCTACATCAGTGTTAAAACGGCACATTGAACAGCTGTTGAAGATTTGTGTAAAAAGAAAAAATCCCCATGTGATATGGCCATAAAAATTTTTCTTGTAGAGTAGCTTTTCTAATACTGCAAAATCCATGAATGCAATTATTACCATAAAACATTTCTGCAACATCGAAATATTTCAAAATATCGAAATATACTATCCAAAAATCCATGGAAACATTATTAAGCTGGGTTTAAACCACCCCTACACCAGGTTCAGAATTTACCGTAATTCTGAGCCGTACTCAGCCAATCCTTACATGTGTGCAACGCGAAAACTTGGATTTAAACCTGGAATCATTGATCGTAGGTTTAAATCCGAGATACGCAACCGGCCATTTGTTGGCCATATCTTCAGCTTGTGTTGGAAGTTATTAACAGGTGCTAATTAGTGTCTTGGGGTCATATACTTATTCGGTTTGTTCCCGTTTTGCACACATTTGAGTTACAGGTAATTAAAAAATGTGTGAAAAACGGGAGTATGACAAGGTGAAATAATTACTTAATTGCTATAGTCTATACCATACTTAGTATGATATACTTAGTATGTATGTGAAAGGTGAACTTATATTGAAAAAATAAGAGAATAAATACAAAGTTAATGTATTTGATATTTATTGAGTATAATTAATTCTTATTCTCTATTTTCTTTATTATTTTTATATCTTTAATTCATTTAGAATTTTATTGAAAAGTATTCCTTTTTTTTAAATTGGACTTAATAAATAATATTGAATAAATATTAATAATTTATTAATTTGTAATTTATTAATTTATTCAATAAAATAAAATATTTTCCCATAAATATATATAGAATTTTAACAAAATGCTCATAAAATTGTAATAAACCTCTTAAGAATACATTATGCTAAATCAGGTATTCACAGGTAAATCCAAAACAAAAATCGGACTATAATTGCTATCAAAACACTCTTCACACCTATTGTCTATACCTAATTATCAAATGTGTGCAAAACGGGAACACACCACTTATTCCTAAATAAACATTTTTCACACCTTTGACTTTGTTGGTGTTTTTATACATACTCTTTGACTTTAAATTGTAGTTTGGCACAGAATAAGTCAAATACCCACATGTTAAGGTAAACCTATGTTGCTGAAATAAGGAAATATAAAGGCAAATTAAAGCATTTAAAGTACATTTAGCATAAATTTATCACTTGTTGTATGGGAAAGCTTAAAAATGATTCCAAAATTTAAACAAATGAATTAAGGTAAAACCATCCGTAAACTTTCTACTAGTCAGTATCTACATGTGTGCATTTTTCTCACAAATACCCCAGTGGAAAGAATCTTCAGCATGGCAGGAAAATCTTCAAATTAATCGAAGATATATATAAGGTTACGGGACACGGTATTTGAAAAATGTATGAAGCTTTTAATAATGTTATAATTGTAAAAATGTTGTAAAATAATCTGTTTTAAATGTTAAGGCATATACATGACTATTTACTTTTATACGTGTATTCTTGAATGTAATTTGTAATTTAATTAATTACATTTGCAAAGTAATTGTAATTTAATTAATTACATTTCAAAATCCATGTAATGGTAATGGTAATTTAATTGAAGGTTTTGGGAAAGTAATTGTACTTAAATTAATTACTTTCCTATGTAATTGACCCCATCCCTGACTCAATGATTAAGAAGGTTAATATATGGGGGAAATCTGCTGATGGAAAACAGAAGAGCAATTCTGACTTAAATGAGCAGTGTGGCCCATGGACTTCTGTTTCTTAGCAACAACATATACAAAGAAATTTACCATAGGAGAAATAAATTTGTTGTTAAAGAACAGCAGGGTCATATTGGCTTAGGTGAATATTGTGGCCCATGTGCCTCTTGTTTTTGAAAATGACATGCAACATGAAAGTTTTTCTCTCATTGTGTACACGTGTTGTAAGGGTCTTACTTGAAAGTACATAGCTTGATGGTATTATCTGCCAAGAATTTTGAAAGGAGACGAAAACCCCTTTTGCAAGCAAAAATGAATACCACAGAACAAATGCATGAAATGATATATTTCCAAATTGAACTTAGTGACATATGAATAAACCTAGTTTAAAACTACCTCTTTATATCAGGACTTATTAACGTACACCTGTTTGTTCACTGTGCGTATCATGTAATATGATATATCAATTTAAAGTCCAAATCACTTCACAGTGTATAGCTACCTTAACTTAACCTAAAATCTAGGTCGAATTAGGAGACATTCAACAAACATAGCCGTCAGTACACCCAAATATCCACAGGGCTCCCCTCAAGAGCATATCGAAATGTGTGAAATCCATGATTTACCTGTTGATGTTATATGTGAGGACTGTGATGAATTCATTTGTGCCAAGTGTGCCAAAACAAATCATAGAGATCATGATTGGAACACCCTATCCACAGCAGCCACTCAAAGGAGGAGAGATCTGAACAAATTTCTGAGGAAGATCAAGGAGGAGGATTGGCCTAGGATTGATGAAAAAATGGAGAATACGTCAAAACAGATGACAGAAAATGAAGAACTTTGTGACTGAGATTAAAAAGCTTCAAAAGCATTTTGATGAGATAATGGCCAGGTTGACAGAAATCAGGAAAAATAATGAACAAAGACTGAGAGATAATTTGGAGGAAAGAAATAGAAAGCTAAACAGTGTGAAATCTAAGCTAGACAAGAAGAAGAAAGAAATGGAAGAGATGGTAAAGTTTATGGAGGATAACAAGAGCATCATGTCGGAATACGGCTTCATTGACAACCACAGGGAACTGTCAAAAATTCTGTCTGTTCTAGATTTTTATGTGGATATGAAAAGTTGTGAACTTTCAATGAGATACAGTAAAAGAGAAATCAGAGATGAAGTACTGGAGAATATGATAGGAAAAAATCTAAATTTAGACAATATCAGTTTGACTGAAACGGATTCATTTAAATATGGAGATGATTTAATAGTCGTATTGGGGGCATTGTGTGAAGATCAGTGTTACATAAGAGAATTTCAGTCAGATTACATTGAACAAGTAAACAAAGAGGGTGAGAAAAATATAAATATAACATCAAAGCTAATGATATATGTTTGACTGATACTGGTGGTGTTTATTTTACTGACACCAGTAACAAGTCCATCAGCCGTCTGTCACCATCAGGATCTGTCTCTACAGTCACCAGTACAGATCCACTTTAACCAGAATATGAATCTATCAGTCAGTGGACGGTGGACTACTGGTCACCTTGAGAGACAAGGAATCAGATCCTTACAAATTTGAGTCACACAGCAGACGTCTGGTGAGACATATCACAGTAACAGGTGATGTCATCCATGAGTATGAGTACCAGGAGGACGGTCAGACCAGACTGTTTACATGGCCACTTAGTGTCACACAGAACAGTGACATCTGTGTTGTAAACTGTACAAGCCGCGCTACAGGTGAACTAATGATTATGTCCCCCTCTGGGCATATAAAGTATGTCTACTGTGGACAGAATCTGGCAGTAAGACAATCTGATGTAGTATGCGACTCTCTTTGTAACATTCTTGTTACAGACCTAGTAAACAAACAAAGCCATCTGCTGAATCCTGACGGGGAGTTCCTGAAGTTCTTACTGACAGAAAATGAAGTGAACCTTCCAGTCAGATTATCACTATATAAGTCTAAACTGTAGGTCCGATATGAAGGACATGTCAAAGTGTTTCAGTACAGAATACTAGTATAATATACTTGAATTGTGATTAGTTTTACTCAGATGAAATCATAACAAGACCATTAACTGAGAGCAGACTCAAGTAATAATTTCAAACCAAAATAACTTTTTAAAGTAATACACGCTGATGTATTTTTTGTGTGAAACAAAATGATTAAATGATTTGAAACACATGAAGTGTAAAAAAATAAATACTTTCCACAAAATTTTACTAGAGAAGTCGTTGCACTTCAAATAAATTAAGCAATATCTGCAATTAAAAATATAGTCTTTTCAGGAATAGTGATGAAGGAAGTGATTATTTCTTTAAGTAAACATATCTGTTTAAGAATCTCCTCAATGTACATGATGTAATGTTTCATTATTTCCTTTAGCTTTATCACACATATATTTTCCAACATTGTACTGCGATATTATTCAGTGTACTAGGCTGGAGGAAAATTAATTAAGTAAAGCAAGGTTTTGGGATTTTATTTATTTTGTATTTTTCAAATTATTAGATAAGATTATAGATTCTTAGAAATAAAAAAAATCTTTTTAACAAATATAAAATCCCCCACCCCACCCCACCCCTTTCATTCTCAAATTCAACCTAATCTCTTTTTGTGACACTTCATAATCTTAGAAAAATTCTGTTTCTGTTACCTTTATTCATAAAATTCTAAAGAGATATTTTATGTAAGAAAGGATATTTTGCCATATCGAAAGTTAATTTTACTTAATACACACAATTATCATTATAGGGTTCGTTAAAATTTATTGCTAAAAACTTGTTTACATGTGCATGTTGCCGGAAAAACTCAGTTTGCGATCGTTAAATCAGCATTAACAGTCGAAAATACAAAATTAAAAGATAGCTATTCCCTAATTTAAATTTAACACACTGTAGAAGAATGGAGTTTTCTAAGCCTACCACATCCCTAACTTTGCTATGTCATTTCTCTTTTTTTTTTAATTTTGTCCACCATTTTGGTTATAATTTAAAATTAACAAAATTAGAGGTGTCAGTTTGACACAACTGCCCCCTCTGACATGCAGCAAATGTTCAGTATGTGAAAGTCCAAGGGTGTGAAAATAATGATGGTTGGAAACGGCATAAAATGATACATTTGTTTTTATTTATTTATTTTTGAACAAAATCTAAGCCACATCATACAATGGAATGAACATGTACTCACTTATAGGCAAATCAATAAAAATACCAACAAGAGGCCCATGGGCCACATCGCTCACCTGAGTAACTTTGGCCATGCTGTTCTTTACCGTATTTCTCCTTTGAAGTATATGTACCTATTGTGATCCCTTCCTATCCCTGGAGGTCAAGATTTCAACA